AGGTTATCTAGAGAGATATGGTAGCTCGCTACCGGAACCAGGGTAATCAGTGTCGCTACAACCCGTTTCGTTGGCGTTAAGAGGACCTGCTTCGCTACTTCATTGTCCGGCGTCGGCCGGGCCTGTGGGGCCGGTAAGGCCAGCTCGTACAACGGCAATCCCGTCTCTGAACCGACCGACGTGCGCCTCGTCCTCTTGAGCCACTGTATCGTCTCCGTGAGTCTCAAGTGCAGGGGCTACTACGCCGGCGATACCACGTCATGCCAGAGGGATATGGCACCTCGGTATACCAGACACACCGGCGATACCACGCCCAACAACGGCCCAGGTATGAGCTGGGAGCGTGTCCGATATACCGGATTCCCCCCCGCGCCAATCCGTAACAGCTGAAAAACCATTGCAGTATGTTCCGATTACGTACGGCATGCGCTTCGAAAGGCCCCCAATACGTCCGTACACTCACGAGTCTCTAGTTAATCAGCAACGTCCCTTAAGTATTCTTACTCCATCACAGCCATCACCTGATGCAATGGATTTTGGTACCCTTCCACCTCAGCAGTGTTTCTGATCACAAGAGGAATTATGGATCATTCCCCAAAAGATGTACTTCCATTATACGATGGTCGATTGTTGGAAATGGTCAATTTACGATTATATACTCATGGAATTGATTCCGTCCTGGTTGCCAGTTTTCAGTTTTGGGCAAGGAAGAATGGGGTGAGATTTGACTTCACAAACACCTGGATGCCCGACTGCCCGATTCTCCGAAAGCAACTACGATTCCTAGACAGCAACCACGAGCCTCAAGACCAGCTACATGACATGGCGCATGACTAACCGCAAGACGAGCTGGACAGGCCCCCAAATGAGCATCAAGGAATCTTTTGAAAGGTCACAAGGACAGGGAGCAAAACGACTACCAACATGTATCAAGTGTCATAGAAAAGGCCATAGAAGAGGTACAAAATTTTGTCCCTCGAAACGTAGCAGCAGCCCTTACTGAACTGGGACATTGCTGACCAATTGGAGATCCGTAAGTGTACGAATATGTCAACCTATTGGAGGCCGCTTCGAAAGCGACTGGACCCAAACTGGACTGCGTCATTACCAAGGGACTCATTCTCGACGACTTTGTTTCCGGCTTTTGTGGAAACTGTACCATCGCGAGATAGAGACCAGTACAGTGGCTTGATGCGCAGCCCTAACAGGGAACTTTCGCACCTGTGTTGAGAAAGCTCACTTTCGCGTATCTGCCCGCAAAGCGTAAGCCATAATACCGCCTTTCTTTTGTACTACGCTTGAAGCCGCAAGAAAAGGGATTCAAAACGCACAAGCCAGTGATGCACATTTGGGACTAGTGGCGGGGATTTACCTGATTCCAGAACGATTAGGCCCCACAAGTCACATACTTAACTCACATGTTTTGCAACCAGCGATTCTCGTGCTTTTGGGTATGATCCTATTGAAAACGGCAAGAAGCACTTGGCAGTCCTGAGCGGTCGAAAGCTTAATCGGCTCACCTTGACAAATGCGGAAATACATGGTTCCTTTACTAGAAGCTTCAACAAAGAACACCAAATAAAAGTTTTAAGATCATCACATCTCGGAGTTTTATTAGGCATTGCCGTAAAATCCATTCTTTTCCTGATGCTTGAAATTAGCCGTTCCCTGGCATTCAACCATTCCCCCTTTAATCACATCCAAGACCTAGCCTCATAAATCCGACCAGCACTAGAGCCATTCAACGAACCAATTTTATTCACGGTAAATTTTCATTGCGGTATTTATCGTTCACTAAACACATCGTTAAGACGGCATTGGTCCCAGTGCTATCATATCTGGTCGCTGTGCAATATGGGAATCAACAGCAGAGACTTCTTAGTAATCCATCAATGTCTTTGCACACATACAGTATCGGCTATTAACAATCTATTTAGATTGGGGAGTGGATTCTGTTCGCTCTTTGCTTCGTCATCATATCTGCTCGATTGACAGTACGCACGTGGAAGAGGATATGGTCTTTTTGGCTATCCGAGATATTTCTTCTAGCCTCTCTCTTGTTCTTTCTTATCCTTGTCGTCGGTGATACCTATACATTGTCAATAGGTAAAAGCGCGTTCGTCGAGGAATACTACGATGAAGGCTTTGCAAAGGTAGTTATGCGCCTGTTATGTCTGTTACCTTAGTCTATACACTAATCCATTAAGTAGTGGAAATTCGCCAGTTCAGTCGTCTTTGATCTAGGCTTTTACTTCCCACGGTTCAGTCTACTAGCCTTTTACAACGAGATCTTCTCTGAATCCGAAAAGAGATTGCGATTGTGTCTCTACCTAGTTACGGCCTACGCCACTTGTGCGTTTATTACAACCGTGTTCATGGACATGTTCTGGTGTGGCACTCATATATCTAAGAATTGGTTTGTTATTCTCATGAGCTTCCTTGATATTTTTACGCAACTGTGGTTTTCGGATTGTTTCTAACTTCTTTTTAGGTCGGATGCTGATACCACTTGTACATTGGTTAATAGTCCGGAGCCCATGTACGTTGCCTGGTCAATTGGCATCATCTCCGAACTATTTGGTAAGTGTCGAAAATCAGTACTGACATGTAATATTGACGTGGTATTCAAGTCTTCGCACTCCCGTTCCCAATTCTTAAATTAAAAGCTTTGCAAGCAAAACATAGAAGGGCTTTGCTTTGCATCTTCCTCCTTGGGATAGCCACCGTTCTTACTAGCATTGTTAGGTTTATTCTGACTGTGAGATCCATTTGGGACTATTCTACCTGTAAATATGACTTCTTTTCACGGCTTTTATTTTGAGGTAAAATTAATTCATAGTAGATCTCGTTGGGTCAACAGAAATCGCCACCCAGATCACTGTCATTGCGCTACCAGCATTACGCCCATTGCTTGGTTTCTTTTCGCACGGCTGGAGTAGATGCTCTCGATCCTGGTTACAATCCCGCAACAAGCGACCGGTCCATGACATACAACAACAAAATCAACAAGCATTTGACACGGTTGGGTGCGTCAAAGTCAGCGGAGAGGCTGTAATATCTGCCGATAAGCCCCCGGATGATTGCAACACGAGGACAGAGTTGGTGTGAGGATTGAATTTGTAACGAGAAATAAGCTTAGGGCTGCAAAGTATGATAAATCTTCAAGCGACGCCTTCAGATAGCACTACGGGGATCACGAAGAGCCTCGAAGAACAAAAAGTTACAGAATCTAGTAGTATTATCTGCAGGTGAAGGGAGGCAAATGGTGATCCAACAGCAGCTTGGTGACTTTGCCAGACCCGGGCTGTAGTCAAGGCTGCCGATGTGATGTAGAAGAAAGTCATAGAAAGGGCGGAATATGGGCGACCACAGCATTTGTGCAGACAAGAACATAACAGCGGACGGATGACTCCTCGGCCACGGAAGAACTATGGTACAAGTTACGTGAAGATAAGATAAGTTGATCACTTGAAAGACCCACTGATCGATCAACCGAACCGAAAGACTGATCAGCACCCAATAGACTTAGAAGGTCGTGAAGGGACATTGGGAATAAGGACTTGTATACATGATGGACTTGGGCGAACCCAAGGACAGACTCTCATAGCCCTTCAGCAATCAACTTCGTGGTTCACTCTCTAATAAGTGACTCTTAGATCATCCTTCTGTTGTGAAGCTACGCAAGCTACCTACGCCTTGAAGTGCCTGACTGATCATCAGACACCAACAGACCAGCAAGATTGTTATTGAATATCGACCTCAGCTACCTGTTAGCAGAAAACACCACTGTCTGATATCTGACCGTAACACACCAGATGGGTGATGTTGATATAAGTGACTAGATGAGGTTATATTATTAACACTGCTTCCCTATTTGCTGAGGAGGCCGCTAGTTACTTGCTTGGAATTTCCTGCTTGAAGTGGTGATTGTGAATAGCCTTATGTTGCAGAGCTGGGGCAAGCCTAACTGGCAAAAGGCCACAAACCAGTACTAATGGCGGCAACTGCTTCTAACCCAGCCAATTTATCAGTTTGGACCATTAGCAGGAGGTCGCCGACGTTCGCGAGCGCAGAGGGCTTCAGATAAAAGGGATACCTCTATTCCTTAGGAACATCATCGTAAGGGATTAAGAAAGGCCTGCTCACTTTGCTCCTATTGCGGTAGTAGGGAGGTAGTAAAGTCACGGCAGGCCTTAGGCGACATATCTGGGAATAACCTCACACAGCGGCGTAAGACGCGAAAGGGCTGCTTTAACTATGACGTGCCACTGTTAAACATTGCTGGTACCTCTGGTACAACCAGAATTTATACACAATGAAGGTACTTACCTCTAAACCATTGGATAGGCCCATGCGGCCATTAGTCCTGATTGTATCTACACCACCCTGGGCAAAAATGAGGTCCATTGGCACTCGATGGGATTATAACAGCATCAACGACGATATCAACAGAAAAACAACAATAAAGACGTTAACAGTGAGGGGCAACGATTGCCAATTGCCTACGGGCTGCCGCGTTAGCAGCAGGAAGGCGGTGAAACTACGCTTGGGCACAGGGATAACAACGGTACGTGGCCGTGGCTGACTTCAACTTCGCGCTATTTCCGCTGATTATCCAATCAAAATATACAATCCCAGATAACTTTGGGCCTTGATCACTCTGCACAAGCCTCTGCCTCCGGTCTGCATCTCCCCAATTCCTACATCCTTCGCCAGCTTGTCGACGATAACCAATAGGTACCCGATCCCCTCCGGCTGGTAAGTGGTAGATTCGTCATGTAAAGGCAGTTATTGAGTCTCGTCAAAAACATGGGGATTTGTTGCATGCTTCCTACTTTCTCATGCTGGGGAAAAAGGAGAATGGTGTTTATTGGAGAAATGAATCATCTGTAGTGGAGAGTGAAAAAGGACTTGAAAACAAACCACGTGATATTTAATTGAAACTTGCTCCGGCCAGAAGCGATCTGGCCCAACCATTCGCTACTCGAGCGTACACTCGATCAGCGTTGCAACGCCTGCCTATTCATGACGGTATGCTTTGCCTGGACGATCAAGAAGCTCACGTTGGCAACGCCTATTCTCTTAACTTCCATCAAGACATCAAGAGCGATAGACCCAAGCGTCTTCCGCGGATCGACAATAAAAATCTCTCCAGCAGTCCTGTTGCTGGCCTTTCGAGACACGTCGGAACGGCCTAGCAGAAATATTGTATCCCTCTTCTCTCCGGCTTGAAGAGCCAGATACTCGGCAACGATTGCCGATGAAGTGATATCCTTCGTGACGGTACATACAACCTTGTTGAAGGTGATGCGCCTGGCGACGGAACTATGGATGTCGGACGTGATCCGTAGGAACTGCATATTGGCCTCGTCATCGTTATCGGCGGCATCGACGATGTTGACCTCGAGGTTCTCGTTCTGTGCGAGCTGGATTCCGAGTTTCACGGCGTAGATGTCGTCGGCGGCGCCCGTGTAGAGGACGCGAATCAGCTTCTTGCCTCGTCTTTCTGCCGAGAAGAACCTGAAAGCGGAAAGATCTTGAATGTCGGAAACGTTGATGCCAGATCTCTGCCTGGTGGGGTGCTTTGGCTTCTTGGTTCCTGTGCCTGAGCTGTTGATTTTTCCGAGGAGTGTGGAATCGATGTATGTAGCTACCGCCGAGATGTGCTTTGCCTTGTCAAAGACGCTGGCCATGAGGTTGGAGAAGTCGCCGGTGCCAATAGGATCTACTCTCCTTGTGGTTGCGCTGCAGAAAGAAGGGAGCTCAGAGATGGTGCCAGTCTCGCTCCATGGAACGACGATGAGGTCGCTGTTCAGCTTGGTCGCCTGTGTGGCTAATGTATCGGCGAAGGAGTCTTCAGGTACAACGGTAATTTGACCCGAGACGACAACGTCTCTTGTTGTGTTAATGGCTGATGTACTAAAAGCCTTGATGATGGGATCCTGGCCAGCATGTCCTTCGATTTCCGAGACCTTCATGGCTGAAGAGTTGCGCTCGCTAAGCCCGACCAGACGTAGGCCGTGGATTCGAAGAAGTTCCTGCGGAGGTAATTCGTCTTCCGGGATTTGCACAGCATGCTCGACGAGACCTTTTTCTCCACCGTGATAAGTCTTTTCGGGAGACAAGCTGTGGGATAATGCAGCATCCTGGCCGCTGGTGAAAAGGGATATGGTTGATAAAAGACTAGAAAGACCATCCGTGCGAAGATACACCAGCAGTTTAATAGCAGGCTCTCTCTGATCGTCATCTTTCTTGCTATCGGCGCCGTCCTTCTGAGTTGGGGTGCCGTCCCAATTGATCTTGCCCCTCCTCCACAGCTCCAGCTTCTGCTGATAAGACGGAGGATAAAGCCACATGACAAGAGGTGTGGTAATAAAAGTCGTGACAAGCGCCATAACCACAAAAATGGTGAACATCCTTGTGCTGATAATCTTGGCTTGCAGGCCGATGTTTAAAACGATAAGCTCAACATGACCCTTGCAGGACATAAGAGTGCCGATGGTGAGGGATTCACGCCAGACCATGCCGTTCATTCGTGCACCAACAGTACCTCCGAGTAACTTGGAAAAGAACGCCAAGAAAATAACGGCGACAACATATACCCAGACTTTTCCAGTATCAAGCAAGTCCAAGCTGGTGTTGATGCCGGACCAGGCAAAAAACAGAGGTACGAAGAGGGTCGAAACTAGGTCTTCTATCTTCTCTGTCAGCTTGACGGCAAAACCGCCATCGTGGGGGCACATGAGGCCGATCATGAAGGCTCCAAAGATGGCATGAACACCAATAATCTTTGTGAAAGATGCAGATGCCAGGACCATGATTAAAGTCAAGCAGACTATCCCTTGCGAGGGACCATGCTCCAGACTCTTTGTCCGACGAAGCACCCACATGAAAATAGGCCTAAAAACAAAGGCAACCAACAAACTGTATCCAATAGAGACAAGTAAGATCCACATTGTTGTCACCCCGGCGCCAGAATTGACGAGAGTGACACACAGCGCAAGCAAGATCCAGCCGACAACGTCATTGGTGACTCCAGAAGTCAGCACGATGACTCCAACGGCGGTGTTGAGTAACTTCAGGGAGGTCAATATTCGGCAAAGTACGGAGAAAGCTGTGATTGCGAATGCTATACCGATGAAGAGCGCAAATAATCCAAAGGATATGGGTGTGACACCCGGGTCATCGCTGAATTCATTGTACAATCCGTAGGCTAAGGCAACACCGACGCCGAAGGGTATGGCCACATCTAGGGTTGCAACGCAAATTGCAATTCTCCAGTTTCTCAGGAGGTATGAAAGGTCGATTTCGAGGCCGACAAGGAAGAGGAAGAGAACAAGACCGATTTGGGCTACTAGTCGGAAAGGTGCCATGGACTCTTTGGGGAAGATGACTGCAGTAAATCCGGGAATGCGGCCGAAGACAGAAGGTCCGAGAAGGATTCCCTGAGTTTTCCATGTCAGATCTGTTTTGAAATTCATGTCTTGGGCGGCGCTGATGACGTGATGGTAAAAGGTTAAGAGAGTTCATTGCGACTCACGGTGACAACTTCTGCTATAACTCTGGGTTGTCGAATCAGGCTAAGAGACCAGTTCAGTATTCTACCTAAGGCGATCACGATGACAGCCTGAATGATGAACATGACGATTGGGTCCGCGGGGTTGTAGACGGAAGGGTTCAGACCCTCGAAAATGCCACCTTGCGAGGGGGCTCTGCTGCCCGTTAGAGTGGGCGTCGCAACCGTGGACGCTGTAATCAGCATGGTTGATGCTGTTGCAACTTCCATGGTTGCAAAAACGAAGAGGTTGCGCGTTGAAGAAAATTAAGTTGCTGTTTTCGCAATCTCAACGGCTTCTTTAGGCTTTGAATGACAGCTGAAATTGATCAGCGGAGAAAAGAAGTAAAAAATCAAGCAATGACGGATCAGAGGCAGTCAGTGTAGTGGGCTGAGGAGCTATAAGACAACCTCTGTTCAACTCTCTGAATATGATCTGCCTTTGGTCTATCGTCCTCTTAGCCGCAGAGTAGTGGCGTCGCTGTCATAGACAGAATCCGGACTTTTCCTCCCTCCGCTGACTCGAGTGGGTCCATCTGGTGGCTGGCACCGCCATCCCGGAACGGACACTACGGCTTGACGACTGAGTAGCGGCTTGTACCTTCAAGAATTGACTACAGTGTGCGCCGTCTTCGCGTTGGCGCTAGATGTCTTGGGAGGGAGGGAAGGAGGGAGGTAGTATTAAAGGAGGGATCCAAAAGCTTAGCGTCCGACAAGAAGAGGTGCCTTAGATTTCAAGGCACTACACCCGTCATGCAATGACAGCAGGCGCCTAGTTTTTCCGGGTTCGTAATCTATGCATAGCAACTGGCACAGGGAGATATGATGACTGGGTCGTGAAACTCTTCCCGGTCGGCCGCCTGTTTGAAGAATACCGCGCGATTCCGGGGAGAACGAGGGTTAATAATTGTTTCTTGATGGCTTTGGTCAAGCTCCTGGACCACAACAGCGCAGCTTGGACTTGTCATGGACCTCTTTCATGGAGCGCCCTAAACATAACAACCCCGATGGCGCTTACACTAGAGGCTTTACTAGGCCACTTGCGTCAGGTCCAGAGTCCGCCAATAATCACAAACAGAGTGACGCCAGGAGTAAGCTGGCTGTCCGGCGACGATCAGACTCTTGAAACAGCTGCACCTGCTGTTTGTGGGAGACTGCCTTGCCCTTCGCAATTTGCCATTCCGCTATATGAACTTGTCCCAGGGCCAGTCCGTGTCTCCCGACTGATAGTCCGCCGGTAACCCTTCAATGCTTCGCTCTTTGTTACAATCCAAAATTAACCCACGCCGGGGCTTCTTCAACAATCTGGTCGATTCGCTAAATCACAGTACCCACTTTCCGACCACCCAAAAACAAGGGTATCACAACACAGCCACCTATTTTAATTCACTATCGAAGCGGCCCAGATGCAACTATAATACAGCTTTCTGCTTCAATAGGGTAATCAGATGTGACGGATCCGTCCGTATTAATATCAACTTCGGCAGACTCAAGCTGGAATTGCCGTATATCGCTGATATTGGCGAACTTAGTGTTAGAGTCGATTTGAACAGCCTTCCTCTTCCTTGCTGTAGTGTTGCTGACTTTGGCCTGGAGAAGTTGTATTTAGTGCTGGCAGTAGCCAGCTGATAAGGCTTCTCTTGAAAGCATTTTTGACTTTTCTGAATAGTTGGCGTTGGGTGGCGATACTTTGATCTAGCTTTCTGAGTCCAGTCCTCTGATCTCAAACGACCCTGTAGACAGGACCAGTTTGTTCAGTGCCAGAGACAATGAATCCCAAGGGAATTGACCTCCCAGGGCGTTGGGTGGCGATACTTTGATCTAGCTAACTGAATAAGTCTAGTTGACTATAAGTTCCTTGACCTTCTTAGGCGTAGACCGTGCAACAGCAGATGAAGCGGATGCCCATTCCTTTATATCTTGGGTATCCTGGATACCCTGGGTGTCTTGGGTAGCCTTGTTGAGTGGTGTTGACGGTGTCGTTGCATTGGGCAGGAATAGGGAGCTTAAAAGAGGCTTAGACACAGCAATAGGCCACAACCCAGTGTATTTCCAGCCACTCTTAATGTTCTTTGCTGTTAGCCCAGCTGGGCGTGACCGCTGATAAGAATAAAGGAGTTTCTTCTGCCTTTTATAGTTGAATCGTTCCACTGGCTGAGATTGTGAAGCTCTTTGCGATAGGCTGACTTTACTGGGCTAAAGACTGACTGATCAAGTGGCTGCAGGACATGGGAGGTGTGTGGCGGTAAGAATAACAGATAGACGTTATGAGTATAGCACTGCCACATAAATTCGTCGTCGTATGGCTCCCATGCCCATACAGAATAAGCAGCCTGGCCTGATCAAGCTGGCTGGGGACAGTCTGGGGCAGGAAGACCTTTTGCAGCCACTGAACAGTGGCCTTTTCAGTCAATGTTAGCAATCCAACATGGATTGTATGGAGGACAACGATAGAGTTGAAAGATGCAAAGCATGACAACAGACTGGTTGAGATCGATCCGACTGGGCCATTGTTCTACGCCGTGAGGTTTCAACTGATGAACGTAGTCATTTTTCTCATCAGAGAAAAGGGATACGACGTGAATGAAGCCAGCAGTTTGGGATATCAGCTTGAGGTTCTGCTTCTGCTTGTTTGAACTGCGCTTTGAATATTGTAGCTATGCTTCTCGAAAACGGGGCCGATTCCAATGTCAGCAACAAAGATAGATGGGGGCCAATACTTTTGGCATCACATACAGGTCATATCGAGGTGGTTAAGTTACTTCTCGAGAAAGGAGCCGAGGCCACAGATTCATCGCCAGTCTTGGCTGCATAGCAATCCTTCGGGCCTTGCTTGCCGTCAAGTACATACGAAGTACCCTAACCCCTCGACAGCTTACAATCCCCGTCACTCTGCGGTATGGACATTGCTACGCCGTGTTCAGGTATTAGGCTACCTTAGCAGCCCGCCGGGAGGACTATCAGCATGCAATAATTGTGAAGTGGATTCGATTGTGAAAAGGAAGGTTTGTTTTCATGATCTTGCATCTGAATGCCAAATGTTTTTTTTCTGAACCAAATAAAACAATTATCCATCGTTACGCATTAGCCCGTAAAATATTCCTATGCCCGTCCTATGTAGTGGATAAACTCTTGACTTTGAACGCCTTGCTTTGGAAACCAAACCGCGCCACACCCCCCCGTCTTCCGCCAGTAACTCATTTTCCCGTTTGGTAAGCCCAAGTATTTAAGCTTCTATATACGGATTCTCCTATAAATGCATGCGTCCTCTATCGCGGGACATACTGAGAACTCGTATTACCGCAGCATCACCTGTAGGCGGCTCTTTTCCGACCCACTGGGTACGCCGGCGCCGCCATGTCACCCAGCTCATATTGGTCCTTCTGTTCCCTGTCTACTGCAGCACCCTTGTTTAGCACGTATTTAGTCGTCTGGCAGCGTAGCCAGCTGCTTATAGCCGGATGGTTGCACTTGGCGTGGTCCATGAGAGCGTTCTTGGCATCCATGACTTGACTCAACACTTCGGAGTATTCGCCGTGAAGCTCGCAGTTACGGGCTTCGGCAATATTCATCGCTGCTTCGAGGTCTGTAGTCTGTTGCTTTTTTTTTTGCCAGTTACGAGCCGAGGCCTGCCTGTAACGCTCGCGGTCGTGTGATGGAGCTTCCTGAACAGGAGACTTGCTCTGGGCCTTGTAGTCTGTCGAGGTTTTGTGATTCTTTTTATTGTCGTTCCTAGTGCCAGCGGTGATTGAGGAGTCCTGTTCGTTGACCTCAAGCTTTCGTTTCTTCGGGGGTAGAAGAGTCGAGTACAGGCTTTCACCTGCGCTGGCGATGCTTGAGCCATTGCTGCGGTGCGATTGTCCCCATAACGAAGAACGAGATATCAGAGGCGAGCCATTATTTTCGGGGGAATGCATCGGGGACGGCTGTAAGTGACTAGCTTGTGCTTGGCTTGAGATATCAGGTGCTGGGAATTGAGGATACGGCCAAGCGCTGTGATTTGTGGACGAAGAGACGGTATAGCTTGCCAGTACAGGGCCAGAAAGCCCTGGCTCCCACCAGTTGACGTTGCCGACGTCGTCCATAGGATAGGTTTGGCCGGAGTAGTGAGTGTTAGGATGTATCAGCGGAGTTTTATATTCCATGAACGGGCCAAACGGCATTGTCGGCGTATAATCCGTGGTATCATACTCATTCACACCATGCGGGAGAGCCATGTGGCTGAGCATGAACGCCTCGAGGTATGACATCAATCCGTCTGCCTCTACTTTCGTGCCGTCGGATATCGGATTCTGGTTCTCGATAGCGCTCTGGATGTAACTGGTTTCTGACCCGTGTAAGTCCGTCGAGTTTGAGTAGTCTAGGATTGGAGGAGAGCAAAGAGGTGTCTGAGTAAGGGTCGAGAATGGGTCCTCCTTGATATGTGGGGTTCGGCTTAAAGCGTCCGACCCTTGGCCGGTAGTTGGGGATGCCGGGTGGTGCGTTTCAAGTTTCTCGTATATCCTCTCAAACGTTTCGCCGCTCCACAAACGCAGAAGCACATTGTGGGCTTGTCCCGGTGCCGCGAGGGCCCCAAGGACGGCGTCACGTTGACGCTGAAAACTCCTTATCTCTTCGAGTTCGGCCTGCAGACTGCGCTTTGTCTGATGAGATCGGATTTGGTATTCGCATTGCGCTCCCCGAGACCTGCATCGCGAACACGGTTTTTCACCATCGCACTACATACTGTTAGATATTGCTCGAGGGATGAAACGGACTGGAGTACTGTCAAACTCGCTCGTTAACTTACTTTGGCCTTCTTCTCTCGACATACTTCACAAGCCTCGCGTGTGCAGACCCTTGAATTTCGACGGCTTACAGTCTTAGGCAATGGTGTCAATGGGAGCCTGCTTGCCATGGTCTAGAAGGGTGTTGTCAGGATAGTGTCGAAGGGTAGCGCTCCCACTTAGTGCATACTTCGGGTACGTATTCGTCGGGAAGACGTAGTTGTGTTGAAAGAAAGCTTCGTCTGAATGATCTCAGACGGTATCGCATGCGAATTGCTCTTATCCGAAGGTTCAATCGCTCTGGCTGGCGCGATCAATATATAGCCTCGACGGTTTGGCTTTCTGGGTCGATTGATGATGTTAGCCAATCTAGGGCTTTGTTTCGTGTGTAATAACAGTAAAATCAGCCAAAAGCCCGCGAGCTAAATCTCTCCAAATATGGAACGATGTTTTATTCCCAGGAAGTGGACCAGTTTTACAAGTTACAAGCACCAACAGGGACTGATATATAGTTGAGACTGGCTTGTCTGACTTTTCCCGCAGCAACAACTCGAACCAGATGTACGGCCGAAGGCACAGGTTGCGACAAGTGTATATGGGGCAATGCGACACAACGTGGTCAGACTGAACGAGGCATGACGTCTCAGTTGAGCAAGCGCCCCAATGAATTAAAGAGGGCCCAACTGTCCCCTGGACATTTGCAGGAAGCACACCCTGGTAGCCTTAATCAGTTTTGGTATCTATGGTCGACGATGGGGTTCAAAGGCCGAGCTCTTGATGGACTGCAAACTCGCCTTCTCCTGTCAGTCTTCGGAGCTGTTCCTATGGTCATCAGCGAATGGTATGGTCACTTTCCAACTCCGGGAGGGAAAATGGTCTGTGCCATATGACCGCATAATGTGGCTGAAGGGAATTCCCGGCTCAAAGCTTTGTTAGAGGAGACGATTGTCAGAGGGGAGTCAAGAGCCCAATAGGAGAGCTTCGCAGTAGCCCGGAGTTTAGTCCACGTTCCGTTGATTGCGGTGTCTGTGGCGACGTCTTCAGAAAGAAGCTGTCCATCGAGGATCTAGATCCTCGTACCAGCCAAGGGCTGCCGAAGCAAGGTCCTGAATGGATCAGTGCAGCGAGTCATTAAATTGGCGATGGGCTTTCTCTTCCATCCACAGCGAGGTGGTGACAGATCGTTTCTGCCCCGGTATCATGAGGTCTCACCAATACATGTACCAAAGGGGCAAGCTCCGAAGCGGGGCAGAAATGATGTCTGTGCCAGGTAGCCGGAGCTGCTCCGTGGCTGTCGATTCGTCAGACACATGCGAACTGACTTCCGAGTTGTCCTTGCACATTGATGGGCGGGAGCCTCCAAGCTGCCAGGAGAAAAAGATAAGCAGCTGCTGAACCCCCAAAGATCCCTTGACTTTCCCAGTCTAGTAGCGGGGTAATGCCACACCTTTGACAAAGAACCATGATAAAATGGATTGTGGGAAGCACATGCGTAATGATGTCAAGACGGAGTTGCGCTATTCAACGCGATCTGCTTATAAAACCTGTCGTTACTACGGATCTGTTTCTTTCTCGTGCTTTGAGAACTGCGGCACCTGAAGCGATCTTGGTATAGAACCGCAGTAGTTAGATGAACCGAGTGTGTGCAACCGAATGAAAGCTGGTGGAGCACCAAATCTAAGCTGAAAACGCCATTGTTGACTAGGATAACCACCAAAATTTTGTTTACATGAAGTAAAGACTCTCGGGGAACCTCCTAGATAATTTGGCTGTGGTTGAACGTTCATTTTTCTTCTAGGGTCTATCACATCTCACCTAGCTCTTTTGGTAGCAGCCTATTGTCTTGAACGGCGCAGGGTGCAGTTGGGTGTCAATTCACCGACCCTAATTTCCAAAGAGTTTCTCCCATCCAAGAAGATTAGGCCTCTTGGAGGTGTTAATGATAATTGTGGCCCTAACTGCGGCAGGCCGTTCCGTCAGGACTGAGACTGTTGGTGTGTTGAACTAGAGTAGGGCCCGCGTATGTGCAATAGTGTCAACTGGTCTGATCTCATGGTGTTGTTTTGCTCGGCTACGCAATTCAGAGGATAAGGATTTCTTGTATTTCTCTATTAGTGTGACGGTTTGGCCGTGCGAAGGTGCGCTAGCCAACGCATAAGTATGAAACAGCTGCGAGCTATAGCGTTTACCAACCGGGAAGATGGCCACGTGCCAATGAGCCTTGCCGTAAGCAACTGGGACCCTGTTGGAGAGACTTGCACTGCTCTTTGGTTATCTTCAAGCCAAACCAGCATATTGGAGCTGTATGTGCAGATATCCTTTCGGACGCAACCGGCGTGGCACATTGTACAATGTCAGCACCCGTAGCACCCTGGGTACCAGCCTTCACTGCATTTTGGACCCCAACAGAGCCGTTGTAAGCATACTTTGTTAGTTTGTGGGAATAGCAGTCGCTAAGTCACAGTTTTTCCTCTCGGTTTCGGCACACTTGAACATGGCACCGCGCTGTTTTGCATGTGCACCCTGTTTCTCCCAATGGACGACCCACATTAACGGCGCCATACAAACCCTTCGATGTCGACTCGTCGCTCCTCCTACATTTCTTGCAATGCTGCCACCACTCAGCAGGGCAGGCCTTGATTGCACATGGTCCGGCAAGCCATTCAAAAAATAACGCTGTGAAGACGGATGGGCGGAGACAACTATTCACAACATGGATTACGGTGGTGAGGAGACGATTACGGATTTTAGGAATATGGTGATCGATCGATGCAGTGAGGAAATTCCTCAATATCTAGTCATGTACTAGTCGATGTGTGAAGCCATACAAAGGCTGTACTCATTTCTGGAGGAACATAATGCTGTTATCTAGGTTGTGTGGTGTGTTGTTAATAATATTGGTCTACTCTGCCTCGTCATAACTCCCCTGGGCGTGATATGTTGTCGGGAGATCAGCAATGCTCTTGATCGTGTCAGGGTGCCTCTTGCCGATTGTCCATTGTGGAATGAGCGAGAAAGCGGCCACATGTGATGCATCCATCGGTAGTGCAGCAGTTACGGGTGGCAAGTCATATCACTATATTACTCGGACCACTATGATCAATATGTGTTTTACTTTAGCCAAAATTTCCTGTCGCGCCTGTGAGGGGCATGCCCTGCTCATCCGGTGAAGAGGAGTACTAATCAGATGCCCTTGGACAAGACAAAATAAAGCCAAGGATGGTAGTATGTCTCATCGTCCACCGGATCCAAAATGGTTGGGAGATATCTTGTACGCCATTCTTCCTGGGCAGCATCATTGAAACATTTCGGGTTGAGCCTTACCCGCTTCGCCTTGCAATATTCCCAGTACGCGGGAAGCCACCCCGCCTGGCCCCAATCAATGATAGCTGCCACTTTCGGATTCGGCCCTAGCGACAAGATGATGTTGGGTGGGACGAGGTCATCGTGTGTAAACACGATTGGCGCTTCGCCATCAATCTCGATTCCGCAAGCATCGTGGAACTGCTGAACGGCGTTTGAACCTTCGAACGGTCCTCTGAGATTTGGACGGCATGCCAGGAATATCTCGTTCAGTGGCTGCTTGCCAAGACTACCTGAAGAATAGGGCACCCTATTAGAATTGCTTGCAAAGTAGACTCGAGATAATCCACTCACCAACAAATCGATCATGGCTGTCTTGCTCTAATGCTCGCAACTCCTTTACCATTCCTTTAAGTTCTTCACAAATCACACGCTTCTCGTCTTCATTCATATCGCACCATCTTTCTTGTAAAGTCACGCCCTCTATTAAGGACATGTAAATAAACCTCTGCCCATCATCCTCGGTCCAGCCAAAGATCTCGGGCACGGGGACTAAACCTTGCAGCCGCTCGTGCACCATCATCTGAGTCTGAGCCTCGACAATTGTAACATTGCCACCGTACTTGACAAGCAACCCGAGCGATGGGAATGTGACGGGTGGTGGGCGATCAAAGCTTGTAGCACGGATATTGCCCGGCTCCTCGTTGCGGGCTCTGACCTCAGCTGGGGCAGGAAGCGTAGGCGCGCGTCTCTCTTTGAAGAAGCTCGACTCGGAAAAGATTTTCGTCTGACCAGGGACAGAGGATCCATCGAAGCTGATGATTTGAGTCGAAGTATCTGCGGTCGACATCGTATGTAGGTGGTGGCACAAGTGATCAAGGATATCCGCGAGTGGGTTGGAAATGTGTTGTTGGTGAGGTGAGCTTGTGTTCCTGAACACAATTTTGTGGGGTCCTCTACCCCGTCTTATACTTAGGTGCACTGGGATGAATATTGTCAGTGCGTCACGAACGAAGACACGCGCTTTCTATTGGTTAAGGCTAGCAAGCTGACTCCTGAATTGCCCACGAGCTTTCATCGCCAGTACACTTGGCAGTGGCTAGCGAAACCCAGCATCAAGTTGTGGGCCCGTTTGTGTCAGTAAGCGCCGTCGTTAAGGGGCACACTGACCAAGTAATAAGAGTTGGCAGTAGCAAGCCATCAAGAAAGATATCAATTAGTGACGGATAATGGCCTCTCCCCAACTAGGATGTTCACCCCCGTCGTATGTTATGTAGCCGCCGACCGCTGGAAAACAACTATAAGCCCTGCAGCCTTGAGGCTCAGTTATTGGATCGGTGATCTGGCGCGCGCTTTGAGTTGTCTTCGGCAATCCCGAGCATTGGCTTTGGAAGCATCCCAGAGGGCGAAATGCATGCGTATAAAAGTAACGAAAGGGTCGAGAATCAGCCATCGAGATTCGATTTCTCTACAGAAACAAATACTGTGATCTTTAATAGGTTTTACTATTGATCGTGATGCCTTCTTCTTTTTCCAGTACCTCCAAGACTGGCGGCGCTCCGCCGCCTCCTCCGCCTCCACCGGTTGCCAAGAAGGCTCCCACCCCACCTCCAGCCCCAAAGCCGCCAGCTGTGGCCTTGAAAGGTCCTCCTGGAGCCTTTTTGGTCGAACTGCTGGTGTACAACGGTGCGCCCTTCAAAGATCACTGGGCATATTTTGTATGCTCGCACGGAAATCATGACATCGGCGTTTTGATTCACGCGACTGGCGACGTAAGAAACGGCTTTGAATTCGAAATCAAGCGTAGCCATGACTTCGACGCGACCGGAAACTATCCTACGATAAGGATTCCGCTGCAATGGGTAAATGCACAGCATTTTGATGAGAAGGCGATGCTCAACCATGGGAAGCATAAAATCGATACCGTGCCTGTCTGTGGTTTTGAAGCCAGTGTACACAAAGCGAAGGCTCCTGGAAAGACTTTGAATTCGATTGAGGACATGGTAAGAGTTTTGCTTGATTTCTCCACATAATCACGGCGCTTTAAATTAGGGAGTGTCTTGTAACTGCTTTTATCACAGACCACTTGAAGTTGTTTCATTGCAACTACATCTCTCTATCCTGTCCCAGGCACAATTACTAACAGGCTTTCTAGACTACAACAGGCAAAAAAATCACCCAAAAGAACTGCCAGTCATGGCTTGTAGAGTCAGCGGACTTCCTTGTTCAAGATCACATATTCAATCCCGAGGTTGCTGTTTACCTTCACGCGATCCAACAATAACGATCTTCGAGGCAATTTGGCTGCCCCAGCACGTTTCATTGGTTACAGCAATAGTCAGACTATCCCGTCAAGTGCGAATGCACCTCATTCTTGACAAGCCCAAGAATATCCATTTTAGTATCCAGATTTACTCCGAAACCGTTGTTTTATGGGCTCTTTAGTGGATTGAGAGTGCTAGGCAATGAATTCAATTGGTTTACACCGCCCTTGGCAGGAATGAGTCCATTCGCACTTGATGGGCTTGATCATACACGACCATGACTGGGTATTTCTATGGGCCTGTTTAATCGCTGTATGACATAAGGACTGTGCTACTTCATCTATTGTACGGATACTCATTGTGCGAATCTTCTGGTTGTGCATTATCTTCGGCATAAGAAACGCTATCAACTACTTTACAATCCTCCGATACCTTGAAATAGCAGACCTCGAGAGCTACCTGCACAGCTAACACCTAGTCGTCAAAAGACCAGAGGCGGTTCTACCAGTTCGTGAACTGTCCCCATTCCCAATATTTTGGCCTGTGAACTCAGCCCTAACCTCTGCCCTTGTATTGCAAAGAGGGCGTCGTTGATATCTTCACGTCCCGTGAAAAGTAGTCAAACGTAGAGCTAGCTATTCCACCCAGAGTCGGGATTTTTCCCGAGCAGCATCGTCTCGCTGAAAAAGTGGAACTCCGGATGGCGATACTGCTAAACTAATCACGACTTTCAATGGCTTTTGGTCGTCAAGAAACTCAACAGATAGGGAATCCGCTTGAGCAAATGGATGCTTCTCTAACTCCGCAAAAGTCTCAGGGAGACCCTGCCAGATCTTAGCAGTGTTTCCCTGACCATTCCACGGCACAGACTCCGATACCGCGATCAGTACCCTCAGATGGTATTCCTAATGATTAACAATTCGTAGAAGACTTCTAAGATAGGTCGGGACAACCAACCCCGCTACAAAGCAAAAGCTTCGGTAGTGAGAACCCTGTCTCATTATCTCCTGTTTTGCATTATGTAGTAACACCGGCGAGCATCCTAACTGTTTGGGTCGCAACAGTAACAGAATAAAGTGATAGCGCGGTATGGTATGCAATGAGCACAACTGGATTCTAGAGATATCTTGTTCATTCGATTGCGCATGTTTGGAGCTTTGACCTGCGTTTCGTTATCCGGTCACGGAGATATGCGCTTTTGAGTGTGGCGGTGCGAATGATGTAACTTCTGCAGATTATCTTATGTACCAAGTACAGACGGACACGACAACCAGAACTAGGACCGCTGTACGCCAATGTAAAGTCTGCTCTTGTTTCATCGGTCGTGTGCCACAGTTCCAAAAGGAACCTGTGCAGCCATAGCCATTCACCCGGCGATCGGCCTTTTTAGGGCACCGGCAAACTGCTCGGTCAAGCCAGAAGCGCACCAAAAGATTATTCTCTATCGTCTTTATGACCGCAGTCTTCCAGAATTCCTCCTGACTTTTCTTAAGTGTTCTTATCTATAACTAGTGTGATTAACCCTCAAAAGTTTATCTCAATAACCGGATCTTCTAATCGTCCATTTCCAGTGCTTCCTAACTAGAGTCGTAATGTCGCGAGGCAAGGAGCGCGCTATTCAAAACACGCCAGTGTTGGATGGCATCAATCAAGGCGTTCAAAGTACACGATTTGCAGTTATGACTATCGATGCAGACCGAATAAAAACGCGGTATTGTGTCGCAGCAGCCGCCTCTTCGTAGATTACACTTGCTGGTTTTGTCACTCTACCTAATACCTTTACATCGCTGCAGGCCTGTGACAACACACTGCATCAGAGTAGTAGTGGTCAGCCTTTTCAGGAAACAGTCAGCCATATCCAGCTATTACCACTGGCTGGGGCTCTCTGTTTCATTGGTTTATCAGGCATCTGCTTCTTATGGGCCAAGTTTCGAGTCAACTATATCTGGCTTCTAAGACATTTATTCATGTAAGTATATTTACCCTCACTACATCTACCTACTTATAGATTGCATTAGGCCAGTTCTGTCAACGTCACTTATAGGGCTGCTATCTACCTTCGTGAATATCCTCACAACACAGGATGGTCACATGTCTGTGACTGCCAAAATCACTAATGGTGTCATCTCAGGCATATGTGTGGCCATGCTGTGTCTGTGCATCTTATATAACTGGCTATTAAACAAAATTGCCAGCCGCTATGACCAGAACCGAAACAATGCGGCATGGAGTTGATCCATAGCCACTAACAATGTCTTGTCTTAAGTTCAATGCTTGCAGTAGCTTGGTTAAAATGCTAGATATTGCTGGTCCTGTGCTGCATTGGTCAATTTCATATTGTTATTTTTAAATCCCAACGAGACTTGAATTGTGGCGTTTTGCCTTCAAGAAACCAGAGCAAGCGTGGTACCGATTTGGGGACTTGCGAAAGTAGTCCATCCACCAAGGGCGCTGGGCCCAGAAAACGGACTTGGTAGCCTAACCATATAAATGAGAGCTTCCTGCTAAGAAATCATTCCATTAAACAAATCTTGAAACCCAAAAAAAAGCGAAAACATGTGCGTCAAACATTTGATGACACTCCTTTTGGTGCTTACATTTACCTGTGCATTAATGCTAGGTATAATGGCACTGTCGAGCGAACAGAGGGTAAAGTCGGGTATAGTGACTCTTGACGTAGGCGCCCCGATTGTGCTAGCCAGTAATGGTTAAAATCTAACCCATTCAGTTCAACCTTTCTACGCTTTCTAACCATCACGTCCTTGGAAAGCGCGCACAAAGCCTCAGGGGTCGCAGCCTGTCCTGTCAATTCTTCTTTTTCCAGCATGACGATCAACGAAAACAATCTGCTGTCTCCCTCTTTAGGTCACTGGCCCTTCAACTAGCCAACAAGATCGAGCCGTTCCGCGACTATCTGGTGGCCCTAGCTGCCGGTAGCTATAGCCTCGAGCACAATACCCAGGACCTAATCTGGAACAAACTGTTCACCGACGAGCTTCCAAGACTTTTACCCGACCGGGACAACCCCATGTACTGGATCATCGATGGCCTGGATATTTGTGGATCTGGTGAAGCGTTTCTTTCAGGTTTAGCTAACCCATCCCTATCTTCTATTCCCATCCGGGTTGTCGTCACCAGCCGTGTCACGCCAACCCTATCTCGCGTATGCAATCAGCTGGGTGCAGAGATACCACGTTGTTGCGACATTTTAATTTGCACTGGTTTCGTGGCCGATAATCCAATTGCGTTCAATCTCAGTCCTTGTCTTCATAATCGATGGCTTGACCGCTTCTGCAGGGCTAATTGGGCGTGCTGTCGTTTACCTACATTTCAAGTGGCATGTGCAGATCGGGAAGTAGCCAAACCCAGTTTCCTCGGGTCCCCCCGAGGAACGATTGGCTAATCGCATGCGTGCTCGAGAAACCTGCCAGGAGGTGTATTGGTAAGGTGGCGCTGCAGCTCTTCAGCGGAGTACGCGACAAATGGTGCAATCTTACTCGTCTTCTGATCGTTGATTTACATGCATTTGGCAGACTGCGGATGAAGCGAGGCTCTGCGCGCAGTATCTGCACAAAACGTTCAACGTGGACCAGGTTCGTCCAATGGTTTGACCTCGGGCTGTTGCATAGCTCTCACCGGCTGCGGGTAGCTTGCGTTCATGCATGGATTCAGGTCTACCGCCGTTTCGCGAACCACCCAAGGCAGTGTGGAAGCTGGCCGCATTGGGTAGCCTTGTCAAGCCTCCTGCCGACAGCCCCGCGTTCCGTTCTGTTGGGTCCAAGGCGAGCGCGGGAGATGAGGAGTAGCTAGTCCCTCCACCACCCTTGTCGCGGGGTAACGCGGACATGGCTGCATCGTTTTCCGTTGCGCACCCCAGCACCATTTTCTTGCGTTATCACAAGATACCCTCCTCACAAAGTGCAAGTTTTTCCCCCACAGAAGCCATATCCGAGCCAGATAGCAATATATGTGATGATGTATAAAGTCATGGACAAGATGCAATCCGCGTTGCTCCTCGAAGGAGATGGATCTGCCATTCTAAATTTTGTATTCTGTCCCTGGATCACGGCAACAGCAAGTTAAAATGGCGACTTGCGGACCCCACCATGTGAGATATTCTCTTCTGATCATGGGGAAAAGGGACCGTTGATATGTTAACGAGGGTCAATAGGGACATCAGCTCCAGCAATGCACTCGCCCGGTCTGTGGGACGAATTGCGCCCCGTTAGCATCCGGGTCATGTAACACTCAGCGCTTCGATAATATTGATAAAAGGCTGGCCGAAATAGCCGAAAGAGCCGAGAAGCTCTTCACCATGATGCATGCGCAGGCATGCATCACCAGTCAATTCGACGAAAAGTAGGTAGCTCCGCTTCAGTCTTTACTTGTGTGTGAATGTTTGCTATATACTGAGCAATCTTACGACAGATTCAAGAAGGTCGACGAAACAGTCAACACCATTCAGAAGGCTATAAACGCAGTCAGCGCCACTCTAACAGATGACCATAACACCTTAGCAGCGATCCATGGCATGGTCGGTGAAACTCAGGGTACTTTAGCTGTAGTCAACAACACTGTAAACCAAACACAAGCTGTGGTAGCAACAATCCCCGAAACAGCTACCAACAACACTCAGAACGACTTGGAAGCAGTCAACAACACTGTCAACAACATTCGTGTTGCGCTAGCGGCAGTTAGCGATACCGTCACTGTCACCAAAGCTGCTGTGATGGCAAACAGCGACGAAGTCATTCATGTTCGGGACGACTTAGTAGCTGTCACTCGCACGATCAATGATACTCAAGATATCGTGACAGCGGTCAACACCACAACCGGTCAATCAAAACCCGCCGTGACACTGATGAACGATTTGGCTAACCTGACAAAAGCTGACACGAAATTAGTCGTCAACACAGTCAACGGCATTCAGGATGACGTCGCAGCAATTCGCCACACGGTCAATCATACCGAAGGTGCCGTCGCAATAGCAAACAATACGGCCAACCAGATAAAAGCTGTCGTGACAGTGGTGAACACTACAACCAATCAGACACAAGCTGCATTGGCAACAGTCACTCGTACTGTCGAAAACATTAAGGATATTGTGACTGAAACGAGGAACACGGTTAATCAAACGCAACAAGCATTAGCAAGCGTGAACACAACGGTCGCCGGTACCAATAATACATTAACAGTAATTAAAGAAACTGCCAATAGGACGGCCCAGACCTTGACGGGCTTCAACAAGTTATTAGCCAGCAACCAGACTTCCCTAGCGAATATTGACCAAGCGGTTGCCCAAAGCAATGAAAAGGCATCGCGAAACCAGACCGAGATCAGTGATACTCACAGGGCTATCCAAGAGCTTCAGCAGGAAGTTCGGGCAGGGTAACTAGAAGGGCTCTTATACCGTCAACGTTATGATTCAACTGACATCTCACAGCCACTTCAACAACGCAGCACGCCTAGCCAATCGTTTTGCAAGTTGCTGTACGACTGCAATACAAAGTTTTCACGGTATCAACGATCAACATATTGAAGGATTTCCGAAATCACATGCTGCGTTTCATAAGTTATCAGGTAAGGACTAATCTAGAAAGAAGACAGTCAGCTAAGTAGAATCGCAGAGAACCAACTGAGCGGGATATTGAAAAGCATAGGACTACCTTTGAGTGGATCATATATAAGCAAGAAAACTCGCTTGAAGACGTTTCTAGGACTAAGGGTGTGACTTGAGGCTTAGATTGGTTTTGATTATTGTTGGAAAGCTTAATCATGTTCAGTCCATGGTTTTTGTTGAAGACTACTTTCGTGAGGCAAATAAATGATCCCTTTCTGTTGATGATATGAAAAGACTCTTTGAACTCACATGGGCAAGATGTGAATTCATCGTGAAGCAGATGATAAACGCCTTATCAGCAAATCCTCTGGAATGTAAACATGGACCTATTCGCCAATTTGTTTACATCTGGCAGCTGATATCGCATGCCGAAACCGATGGCCTGTAGAGTTTCGTGTATCCCCCTTGTTTCACTCTCGTTATGTTGAAGGCGTGCAGGGTGATCGGGACTCTAGCGGTGCGGGGCGGTGCGTACACAACACAACAACCTCCAAAGCAACACAGGATCCTTCACTTAAAGTCTGGCTAGGTCAGACCTGATCAAGGGTGTAAATCCTGATCAGGACGTCAGTAGGCTATTACACGAGGCGACTGCTCCCAGAAGTCCTGTGTTATCAATATCGGGCTCCAAATCGTGGGAAAGGGTCTGTGGAGTTCGGTGGAAGATGCGTGTTACGACCCAAATCCGGTTGGTGACTAGTGCAGCCTGAGGTGAACCCCTGAAGCAACCAGCAGGGCAGCCAGAAGATTCAAGTATGCAGGCCTGCGGCACGGGCCGGGTTCGGATCGGAAGAACTAAGGAAGGTCACGTGATGGATCAGATGGGTCACTGGTGATCCAATATGATCCCCCAGCCAGGATCACTAACGAAAAAACTTCTACAACAGCGAGAACGAAATTTTTGAAATCAGAGCAAATAACAGCGCCACAACACGATCTAACTGGTCAATTGGATAGCCTTTTGCTCGTCGTGAAGCCCATAGCGACGCAGGCATCATGGCAACCCCATGGCCCAAGGATCAGCCCTGGCCAACGCCATACCGAGAGCACGCCGCAGAACTAAGCACATACCTCCAGACAGCACTGAAGTCGATCGACACAGCAAATGGTCAACCTATCCAGCCTCAAGGAGTCAGGGCCGCGTTTATCGGGGCTCTAGCACTCATCGTCAAGATACAGAACATCCCCGACATCGGCCACGTTCACCAGGCAATTGAAAATTTGCGGATGGAGACAAAGGCAGCCAATGAAAACACCACCCGAACCACGAGCAGCATCAGAATCGCGATCCAGCAAAACACAGCCGAAATCAAGGAGAACACTAATACTAACAAGGACACTAACACAGCCGCCAAGGAGGCACTGAAAGCCAGCGAGCTGACTGTCAAGATGGTGAGGGATATCAAAGCACTGGGACCGATGAATCAGGGGAGCGCCGCACAGTCGTATGCCAGTGTAGCCGCCAGAGGAGGACTCATAGCAAGCATGCATAACCCACAAAACCAAAGACCATCCCAAGTTCAAACCCTACGTGAGGTCATCGTAAACATTAGAGATCCTACCACCATTGCCAGCATCAGAGCCATGAACCCCCGTAACCTTAAGGCGCACGTAGACCGCGCCATTGAACAGAGCAGCAACGAGCACATCCGCAAACTAAAGACCGTGTCCGCAAATCAACTGAAAAGCGGTGACCTAAGTATCAAAACAGCCACTACCACAGACATGGAGACCCTACGACAGTTTGCGGAGGACTGGAAACACCGAATAGGCAACGGTGCCACGGTGCGGATCCCAACCTACGGAATCCTAGCACACGGCATACGAACCAGCTCAATGGACATGGAACTCTTTACGGAACTCCGAGACGAACTATTGCAGGATAACAAAGCCTTCATCCCCACCGCAGAGATTAAGTACATCGGATGGTTAACTAGATCCTCCACCACAAAGTCTGCCTCGTCCGTTATCGTCGAGTTCGCCAAGGCGGAGGACGCCAACAAACTCATCGATGAAGGACTCATCTGGCAAGGCGAGGTTTTCCAATGCGAACGATACGACAGACAGTGCCGTCTGAGACAATGCTTCAGATGCCACGCATACGGCCACATAGGAACCCAGTGCAAGGCAACGACAACATGCGGCTACTGCGCGCAAGAACATGCAACCCGAGAGTGCCCCTCAAAAAGCGACACGGCCACACCCCGGAAGTGCGCGGCGTGCCACGGCGAACACGAAGCGTGGCACGGCCGGTGCCCAACTAGGATGCGGGAACTGGCCAAAATCAAAGCGGCATACAAACAACGACCAAGGTACCACCCGGAAGCCACAGCAGCCCCAACCGCCACAGGAACGACCCCAACAACCCGGACGACATCGAGGCCAGTACTGGAACCGAGCCAGAGCCAGAGCACACGCCAGGAGCGTAGCAGATCACCCATAAAGAAGAAGATACAGAAACGTCAGCAGCCCACCGGGAGCCAAACACAAGACGAGAACACGATCATTGTTGCGGCAGAGAACTCCCGGCCAAGACGAGCGATAGTGCCCTCCCGCCGAGCGATGGAAGCCATAGACGCGAACATACAGACGACAAACGATAGCCACCTTATGGAAATTGTCGACGACAGCGAATGACCACACAAAGCACACTCACGATACTACAGTACAACGTAAGAAAGTCGAGAGATGTGGTGATGGCCACGCTCCTCCGCGACCCCAGGATCGACAACTACGATATCCTCGCCATCCAGGAGCCATGGATAAATCCCTACAACGCTACAACGCATCACCCAGCGAAGGACCGCTTCCACCTCTGCTACCCTCCGAACAGGGAAGAAGGCCCAGCAAGGGTCTGTTTCTTTGTGAACAAGAAGCTAGACCACTCGAAGTGGCAATTCAAGGAACACAGCAAAGATCTCTGTACCCTCACTCTGGGATTAAATGCAGGTCGGAACACCGAAATCGCCATCCACAACATATACAACCCGCAAAACCAAGACAACGACAGGATGAGATCCTTACAGCGACTACGAAAAGCGCTAGAAGCCAACCGCCACATCGAACAAATCGTGGTGGGGGATTTCAACCTCCACCATGAGCTATGGGGAGGAAGCGAGATCCGGACGCCAGATGCCGAAGCGAGAGACTTGATAGAACTCATGGACGATTTCGACCTCATCAATCAACTACCAGTGGGCACGATTACATACATGGAAGGGGACGGCCGCTCAACAATAGACCTCTGCCTTTTCACGGTTGGGCTGGTCGACAGGCTCATCAAATGCGGAGTAGACGACAACGCAAACCACGACTCAGACCACCTTCCCATCGCGACATCGCTAGACCTAACAATCGCACAACTACAACAAGAAGAAAAGAGAAACCGGAAGGCTATGGACGAAACCGTCTTTATGAAAGCTGTCAAACGGACTCTTCCCCCGCTAAGGAGGCCGAGGACGAAAGCGGCCCTAGACAGATACTTCCAGGAGATAACCGAAGCCCTCACCACAGCCATTGACGAAGGGGTACCAACGAAAACCGGCTCCCCTAAGTCAAGAGCAGGCTGGAACGAGGAATGCGCGGAAATCCTTGCTGAAACTAAACGACTACGTCGACGATATAACGAGGAACACACTGAACGAACCTGGGAGGCGTACCTCACAGCACGAAATAGGAAAGGCCGGATTATTAGATGAATACAACCAACTGTTTGAAAAGTTTCGACGTTGTGGAACGAAAAAGCGGAAAATGGAGTGACAGGCGACGAGGGACTGACGGTCCATTAATAACGGATCCAGCATTGGCACTCGTTGGTCGCAACAACCAACAATGGTACTAGCAGGCGATGCGGCCGAGAGCAAACGCCCAGACAAGCAAACATTGTCCACTGGCGGCAAACGGGAAGCTGTCTTGGAGGCGGGACAGTCCCCTATTGGCCAACGAGCGAGTCTTCCCAGTCGCACGAGATGCACTAGCGGAGTTCGATCGTGGCCGCGCGTGTTTGCACAAACGGGTCTGGCCGTGCAAAAGCATTGTTTTCAGTCGTAAAGTAGTACACAACCCGCTCAGTGGGTTGGAAACTCGCCAGCCTTTCTAGCTCCTTGGCTGCACGGGAGGCCACCGAGGCCACTCAGTCAAGGAAGTTGCGACGACCTCTCGCAACTTCAAGTGCCCTCAAAAATACATGGCTCCTTGTCTCGGTTGACCTGGCGTGAGACGCCAACACGACCCAACAGAGAGCATTTGATTGTCTCTTGACACTGCCCCACAAGCCCTGTCTAGCCCCGCCTCGCAAGTGATGACTGTCAGCATGCATATGCAGGAGTTCGATAACTCAACCACCCTGCTTCCCACGCAACCCCGCATACCACGCAGCCCAACAACGCGTCACCATAAAACCTACTCCTCTTTTCTAACTATCACAACATCTTCTATTCTACCCCAAACAACGCCATTTTTTGAGGATATCTTTTTTACTATAAGATGAAGCAGTATAGTGAACATGAGCTGCAGCGGGCACTTTGGGATATTGCTGACGGGCTTAGTATCCGCGGGGCAGGTCGCAAATGGGGCATCCCAGAGGCGACTGTACGACAACGTCTCCATGGTACCCAGTCTAGAAATACTGCCTTTGGTAGACTGCAGCGGTTATCTCAGAACCAGGAAGGTCTACTTGCTGAGTGGATATCTAAGCAGGCTGCCCTAGGCTCTGCGTTTTGCCATCAGCAAGTCAAAGGGCTGGCTGAGCGCATGCTGGGCGATGGGCAGCGACCACTTGGGAGGAAGTGGATGCAGCGATTTCTTCGCAGAAACCCATCTATCAGAACCCAGCGATGCAGGGCAATTGACGCTAGGCGAATTAATGGGGCAACTGCTGACATTATCCAGGAATGGTTTCATCGCCTTGATCTGCCAGCAATCCTGCCCATCAAGCCAGCTAATAGATGGAACATGGATGAGACTGGTATCCTCGAGGGCAAAGGAAGCAATGGGCTAGTACTAGGATCGTCAGAGACCAAGTATATCCAGAAAAAACAGCCTGGATCGCGGGCATGGGTATCTCTGATCGAGTGCGTCTCTGCCAGAGGACGCGCACTTCCGCCTCTTGTTATGTATAAGGGCAAGTCAGTCCAGCAACAGTGGTTTCCTCTAGATCTTCAACCCTATGCTAGCTGGAAATTCACAGCAACAGAGAACGGCTGGACAACTGATCAGAATGCCCTAGAATGGCTAGAAAAGGTCTTTATCCCTCAGACTGTCCCAGAGGACCCTTCAGATACTAGACTACTAGTTCTAGACGCCCATCATAGCCATACAACAACAGACTTTCTGTGGCGATGCTTCCGGAACCACATACACCTCCTGTTTCTGCCGCCGCACACATCACACGTCCTCCAGCCTCTAGATCAGTCAGTATTCCGACCTCTTAAGGCAGCCTATAGGAAGTATCTAGGGTACCTAGATATACAAAGCGATTCAACTGTAACAGGCAAGAGGAACTTTATAGACTGTTATAGAAGGGCACGTCTAGACGCCTTGACTATCCAGGTTATTAAAAGCGGCTGGAAACACACTGGGTTATGGCCAGTTGATGTAGCGCAACCTCTATCTAGCCCTTTCGTGTCTAAGGCATCAGCCAGCCAGCCAGCCAGACAGCTAGACGGCCAGACAGCTGGGCAGTCAGGAAGTCAGCAGTGGGATGGAGCTGTATCTATAGTCCCATGGTCAACCCCGCGTAAGTCTGCTGATCTTCAGCGTCAGCTGCACCTATTCAACCAGCTTACGCAAGATACCCGAGAAATCTACACCCAACGCCACCTATTTAGAAAGGTCCAAAAAGGCTGGGACCAACAGGCCTATAGACTGACAGTCCTAGAGCGTCAGGCCCAGGCATTCCAGGCCCAGACGGATAGTCAGCAACAAGGCAGGAGAAAAAGGGTCCAGACGGACCCTAACACGACGTTCGCTAATATCGAGGATATCCGACGGGCGCAAATTGCTGCTGGCGAAGCAGAGAGTAGCACAAGTGAATCCAGTGGATCTGAATTATCTAGTGAAGCAGAAAGTTGCATCTGGGTAGGTGGTAGGGATGAGGAATAATGGATGTTGTTGATGGGTATGGTGATATTGATGGGGGTTTGGGGCTGCGTGGTATGCGGGGTTGCGTGGGAAGCAGGGTGGTTGAGTTAACGACGACCAAGGCAACTGTGGCTGCAAACCCCGCCACCTCGAACCGCCTTGCGAGGCGCCACGCCGCTGCCTACGAACAGCGCTTCCGGCCGCCTAATAAAGGAAGAAAGCCCGCCGAATGCAACAAGATAAGCGACGTTTCGCCGACTCAGCTCGTCACAGCAGCGTCTCCCTCCGGATGATCCTCGGATGAATGAACTCATCCAAGAGTTTTACTCATCCAACGACCTCACCAAGCACTTCAAACGTAAGCACTTGTCTAAGATGAAGGACGATGACAAGACAGAGTGTAAGAGCCATTGCCATGGTTGAAGGGGGGGGGGGGTTGTTAATAAATAGTTCGATGAGAGGTGTTCACATCTCAGTGCAACAACGCTTTTCAATTTCTGTTTTACGGTCTGTGCCATTTCCTGATTCCAGTGACTTTCTCTCCTCGACCCCGACCCAAAAAATTGGGCGCTCTAAAGTTCGTTTGTTTCCCGAAATTGCCAGCGCCGTATTCAAGACTGGGAATCCTGCCTCGTGGGAGAAGGCTGGGTACAACGAACAAAATACTCTGCAATCTGCTAGGTGCCCGATTAGCAGTAATAAAGAAGGAGCAAAAGCAATCCGATGATCATCTTTGCTCGTCTGTGTTGTTGATGCAAGAACTGGCATCAACCCACATCACGTGTCTCGAGGGGTGAAGGACAATTTCCAAGCTTAACACGCGAGGTTCGGCGCTCTCTCTCACTGGGCTTTGTCAATCGTTCTCTCATCGGCTGTCCCATCCTCAGAGGAACTTCCATTGAGGTATCGTCCAAAGACGCGATCTTCGATGTCGGTTTCCTTCCAGGACTTGCCCAAGCGTTTGCTATCCTGTCTGCGGAAGTACACCCGCTTACCGAACTTCCAGGCCTCGACTCCAGCGAAAAACAGTCCAGCGGCGATGAAGACGATTGCCCATTCCCAAGAAATCGGGGTGTGCTTGAACACGGAGGTGTTCAAGACAGGGATATAGATCAAAGGGAATAGGGTGACAAAGCCGAACATGATAGCCCAGAAGAGGAACTGGTTCCTCCATACGTCAACCACCCACTGCGTGAGGTAACGTTTAGACCCAGGTTGCATACGGAAGAACGACCGTCTGGTATCGATCATCTCCCATGCAAGGAACAGGGCGAACCATGTCAGACAAGCAAAGGTGGTAGCTCTCGCACGGAAGACCAGGTCGCACGACGGGGAATACGTCTCGTTACACTTTTCGCCAAGTTCACCATTGCCGAACCCGTAGATCACGAGTGTGAAACTAGCCAGACAGAGCAGAGTGATCCAAAGTCCATAGAACACCATGTCCGTAAGAAACTCCTTGGTGAAAATACCGGCTTTGAGCGAGCGTGGGGGCCGCTGGAGAATGCCCGGGACTGCACGCTCGAATCCCAGACCCATGTCGGGGAGACCAGACG